TAGAACATTCTAAATTAATTCATTTTTATGATGAAGATGAAGATGGAAATGAAGATGAAGATGAAAATGGTGATGATGGTGATGATTTAGAAAATAATACAAATTCTTTAAATAATTTTCAAGTGTTAAGAAATATAACAAGTATCAAAACAAGGTGGAATTCATCATATATTTCATGGTCTCGGCTTCTAATACTTCGTAAGTCAATACAATGGCTTGCTGACACCTTACCTTACGAAACAAATAATGATTCAAAAAAGGATGCACGTCGTTTAAAACAATGTTTGTTGCAAGATTATGAATGGGACCTTCTGGAAAAAGTTTTGTTATTGCTAAAACCATTTGAAGAAGCCACAACATTTTTTTCTGGTGCACAATATCCAACATTGTCTCTTATGTATCCTACAATCCAAAAATTAAAAATTAAATATGCTTGTGATGTAACAGGTAGAAATAGAAAAGATGATAATGACAATGATGGTATGCATGATTTTTTTTAAATTTTTTTAATTATAACTATTACTATTATTAACATCATCATTTGTGCTTCTTTTTTTAGAATTAATTTCATCTGATGATGAAACTGATATTGATGGTAATTGTGATTATTATCATGGAGAAAGTCAAAAAAAATCCAATCCACCACCAAGACCCAATCTAAATAATATAGCCATGATATTTCAACAAAAAATATGAGTCTTTGTTTGACTATTGGAACCAAACATTTGATATTGAGTTGTTAGTTACTTTATTAGACCCATGTTTGAAAAAAATGGTATTATTTGATTATGAAACTAGAACAAGAACTATTGAAAAATTGAAAGAACTTTATTTAGAATTAAAATATGTCAAAGAACAAGATAGACAATCATCATGTATTTCATCATCATCACAAGCAACAAAAGTCTCACCATTTTTTGAATCAATATTTGGAAATTTAAATGATGAGGAGTCAGAATTATCAGAGGTAGACCGTTATTTAGATCTTCGCTTAACTCCTATAGCACAACCCAATGAAAATCCATGGATTTGGTGGAGTATGAGAAGAACTGAATTTTCAACACTTTCAAAATTAGCTAATAAATACCTTTCAATACCTGCCACATCTGTGCCATCTGAAAGGCTCTTTAGTGATGCTGGCAATCAAATTACTGTAAAAAGAACAAGATTAAGTTCTGAAATTGTTAGTAAAATTTTATTTTTAAAGAGAAATGATTTTTATTGTAAATGATCAAATTATATGATTAAAAATTATTTTTAATTTTCTAACTAAATATGGCAATGATGCTCGATCCATAACTGGTTAACCGGTTAAAAAAATAACGGTTTAACGGTTAACCGGTTAACTGAAGGTTTTCACAGTTAATTAACCGGTTAAAGAATTTTTAGGCGGTGTCAATCTCTAGGTAAGAGTTTTCCAATATTTTGAATCTCACGACCAAATTTGGTAATGATTTTCTTTTAATGTAATATGTTCGTTAAACTTTTTTGTTGTAAAGAACTTTATTTATTAATAAAAAAAAAGGAAATAAATAAATCAAATGTATGTTGTAGAAAATATTCTATGAAAAAGTTGTTACACGAAATTTACTTAGTCTCAATTTCTTAAATGTATAACAAATTCGGAATTTTCAAAATGTTAAGGCTCTGCCAATTTTCAGTTTAAGAAAAAAACCAGCCAATAAGTTTTGAAGCTTGAGTCATGAACAATAAAATTATCGGCTAAATTTTTTAAAATGTTATAATTTTTTTTTGTTTCAGTATTTTGAAGTTGACCAATTGTTACTATAATAATAAGCAATTAATGATTATATATGATCTGCACCGTACTTTGACTTTAGACAACCCCAAAAACAATTTAGACGCCCATCTATAGTCTTGTCAAATTTAATTTACCCTTTTTCAACAAACAAGGCCCGAGAAAAATATTTGAACTTTGCATGTGGTGGTGTGCTCTCTCATGTGCAATGTGAAAATTACCAGATCTGGAAAATTTTTTGATCACAGCGTGGTTACTGACCTATCTAGTTTTTGATCTTGTTCTAACCTTTTAATATTAAACAATCAATAATTTTTTAATAATTAATATTTATGTAGTTTTCGGGGCTCTCTTCACTTAGCGAGTTAAACCCTGAAATCTCAATGCTCAATATTAAATAATAATCTAAATATTTTTTTTTTATTTCATCGTTCGTTCGTTCGTTTTTCTTTTTATTCTCTTCAATTTTTCATTACATATCTATAATAATTTTATAACAATTATATATATATATATATATAAGTATAAACATTTAATATTGCAAAAAAAAACCCCTCCATTTCCAAGTTTATCATTGACAATATTATCCAACAAAATGGCAGAAAAGGTTCTTTTTATCTTCATATTATTATTATATTACTGTTGATATTTTTTTTATACTCATTAGAGTATATAACACGTTAAATTTTACAATCGGCCATTATTAATTCATTTTATTGCGTTAAATAAAAATGCATATATATATACAAAATATTCATGTTTTGTGCATATAGATCATATATGAAAAAAATATAGTTGTGGTTATTGATCAGGTAAAATAAAATAAAAATAATTTGTTTAAATATTAAAAGCAAAAACATTTTTAAAATTCCATAAACAAATTATATTTCTAGGAAGTAACAAAATTTCAATCACCTGATGGATATTCTATACGTGAATGGAAGTTGACGATTTATGCAATTAACGATGTGGGAGCAAAGTTTCAAGCTAATTTTATTGAAAAAGTTGAATATAATTTACATCCAACCTTTAAAAATCCAACAAGAAGTTAGTTTTTTTTTTTTTAGGTTATTTGTTTTTTATTGTAAATAAAAATAAAAAATGATTATTTTTTTAAAAATTTTTATTAGTTATGAAAAAAGCACCATTCACTATCATAGAAAAAGGTTGGGGAGAATTTGATATGAATATCAGACTTTTTTTTCCAGATAAATCAATCGATCCATGGAATATAGATTTTGATCTTAATTTTCAAAAACCCCATTATGAAGTTATCTATAATTTGGTAATTATAATAATAATAAAAATAATAGAATTTTTATTTAATGAATAAATTAGATGAATGGAGAGATGAAATCAATTACAAATTTATATATATCCAACTATTTATCTTGTATGTATATAATGTATATATATAGACATTTACCGAACCTAAACCAGAGTTTCATAGATTGCTTAAAAAAGAAATACCAGTGTTACATGATTCACGAATTTCATCAGTATCTTCATCATCCTCGGCTGTAAAATCTAAATTAAAACCTGGTAGACCAAAAAGATCATCATCAACTACTACTACAAAGACAACATATCCTTCTGCAAGATCCTCTGCCATGATCAATAATAGAATCAGCTCAACTACTACCACACCGACTACAATTAATAGTACTACTACTAATAACAGAACACAAACTCCAAATCGGTATAAAATCGATGATTCTCCAAATTATGAATCTTCTTCACGATCTTCTTACTCTTCAACTGATTCCGCTTATGATAAGGAAAACTGTTTGGTAATGTGTATAACATACATCATATTATTATTATTTCTAAAAGATATTAATTTGGTTTCAAAAACAAATTTTTTAATAGATTGATTATACAAGATTGGCAAATAATCTGAGTTCATTAGAAGGCAATGATATTTTGGAAGTTATAGATTTAATAACACGAAATCGTACGAATGATATGTACATAAATGATGACATTGATGGTAAATGATAGTTTTTTGGTGGTGGGCAAAAAAGAATGAAAGATTGTGATGAGATAGAGTGTAATTAATTGTACAATTATTTATAAATTTATAAATTATTTATTTATTAATAACTTTTTTTTATTTCAAAAAAATAAAAAATAAAAAAAAATTAAGGAGAATTCCATATGGATCTCTATTCGCTTGGGGAAGATTTACTTAAAGTGTTATGGGATTTTACTGAATCGAGACTTTCAGGTTTTCTATCCAAGTATTAAAAAAAAATTACTATATAATATATAATTATTTTTTTATGGAAGATTTTATCACGGTTAACTAATGAATATATATTTTATTTAGGTCGTGATCCATAAAATTTTATATATTTTATAATATTTGTTCTAAATAGTAGTAATTTGAAAAAAAATTTTTCTATATTAAAAATTAAAAAATAAAAAAATTTAATTTGTAAATAATTGATATTTGGATTAATTGATATTATTATATTAATTTTTATTATTAGCATCGTTATTATTTGTTTTTAGTGAAATATTAATGATCAATGAAAATTATTTAATTGTTCAAAAAAATTACTTTTTTACAAAAATTTAAATTGATGAATGAATTAAATTTCTATTTGTAAATAATAATAATAAATTATTTTTAGATTTAAACAATATCTAGCTAGTATAATGAATATATTTATGAACTTAATAATTTCAAATGTTCCATTGAACAAGCAAATTCTTCAAATTTTTTTACATTACGATATTTTTTAGGTTTATCACAACCGGATAATGAACATGATGGAATTGGTGGAGGATACCTATCAACAAATATATTAAAAATGAAACGTGAAAAATAATTGTATTAGATATAAGATATAACAAGATGAAAATTGTAATATAATCACATTTCAAAATAATATAATAACTTACTTTGGACCTTTTTCAAATTTTATGGGGATCTCAACACCAATTGGAATTGATAAAGTTGATCCATCAACAGATTTAACATAATGAATTGAATTTGATGGTAGTGTTAGTGTTGCAGAAGCAGTAGCTGTTTTATTGTTGTTATTGATATTGTTATTACTACTGTTACTGTTATTGTTATTGTTATTGTTGTAATCATTAAAGCTATTATTATTACTGTTGCTAGCACTATCATTTTCATCTTGGTCTGCTTTTCTTTTTCTTGTAGCTTGTTTCTTTAATAATCTATTAATGGTATCCATCTACATACATATACCATATAGGGTTTAGAATAATGACGGGATATTGATTTATTATTAAATGTTTAGTATTTTTGAAAAAAACAAAAACCTTGTCTTGTTCAGCTCGTTGTATACTCTGATGCTTTCTTTTCCTTGCTATTTCCGATTTCTTTAATGCTATTTCTTCTTCTGTCAAATGCTTCTTTCTCGTTGTTTCTAATTCAATCAACAATAAATAAATAAATAAATAAATAAATAAATAAATAAATAAATAAATTTATTAATTAATTAATTAACTATTTAATTTAATTTACTTACCCATGGGAAGTTCGAGTAAATCCTCTTCATAATTATCATCAAGTTTTGCTCGTTGTCTTTTCGTTAATACACGTCCTGTGTATGACGGCGTTGAAGATTCAGTTATACTTTTTTAAAAATTATAATAAATAAATTTAATATTTATTTTTTAAAAGGAAAGCCTTTTAATTAATCAACGAATATTTATCGCGTCCTCACCTCCCTTTATTTAAAAACAGAATTTTCAAAATTTTAATAAATTATAATTTACAAATTTACAAATTAATAAATCATCCATATATACATTCTAATTAATTAATTGGTCATATCATTCATTCACTTATTGATTCATTAATTCATCTTACCTCTTTTTCTTGAAGAGCTACTACTACTACTAAGTTGACGTTGAGATGATTTTTGTAGTGATGGTTGTTGTTGTTGTTGCTGTTGTAGTAGTTGTTGCTGTTGCTGTTGTAGTAGTTGTGGTAGTTGTGGTTTAATTTTTGGACGTGTAGTTTGTAGTGAGGTTTGTTTTAGTTGGTATAAATTCTTTACACCTCTTGACGATTTCTTCGTAACAACTTCTTCATAATCACTTTGACCTTCATCTTCCTCCTCCTCCTCCACCTCTTCACTACTCTCTTCTTCCCCTTCATTATCAAAATCAACCTCTTCCCTCATAATTAATCCTTCCTCTAATTCCTCGTCTTCCTCTACCTCTACTTCTTCTTCTTCTTCCTCCAACTCCAACATATCTTCTTCCTCGTCACTCGGATTATAATTATTGTTATTTTTATTCATTTTTCTTGTTCTTATACTACTATTATAACCTTCAGCTATTCCCATTGACTCGTCGTCTGATTCTATAACGCTATCGTCAGAAATTTGTTCATCAGGTGTATTATTAGAATGTGATGCCGATGATGGTTCTCTATGATTACGTCCATGTATAGGGTTGGTACTTCTTGTACTATGTCTTCTCGAGGATGACGAACTCATGTTCATATATGTATGAATTAAAAAATGTTATTTATTTGAAATGGATCGACATCAATTTTATAGTAATATTAATGCTGTGAAAAAATCATAAATAATACTGTTTTCCAGATATAATTAAAAGATGGCGATGACGTGAAACAATCCAACAAATAGTAACGTCTACTACATAATATTTATTTTTTTCTCGCTACGATCCCTATAAGAAAAGGCAATTGCGAAACAGCATAAAAACAATATAATTAATTATTCTTTTCAAACAATCTGTTTTCCAGGCAAATAAATTAAAGTTTAAATATAAATTATTAAAATCCAATCATTTTAATGCAATGCAAATAAAATACGAATTAAAATCAATCGCTTGAAATGAATGAATCTGGTTTGTCGTAAGTCGATTCACCAGAAGGTGAAATACAGCAGGCATAAAGTTGTAATCTATAATTTGTCAAACAAACTGCTAAACCTTTACTGTGAGTGGGTAATTAAAGCTGCCTTCAAGTTGGAGTAAATTCTTTGAAGAAAAGTGACCTGTCCTCGATAATTATAAATCAAGCATTCATCTTACCAAAAATGTATTTGCATGAATGGGGAATCTCGATTTCCAGATGCGGTAACATACCTTGTTTTCCTGATACAGTCAACGTATCTTTCTAGCCCTTTCTGCATGCATACGTTCCACTACGTCGTTAAAATTTAATTATGACGGTTGCACAACTACCTTTAAATATTTTTTTAAATTCAATACAAAAAATAAGTGCATGCTTCAATCCCGAAACTTGGAACATGCAATTTTAACCCATCCATCAAGACATTGTTTTTATCCGACTACTCCTTTCCGATTGCATGTAGTAATTGAAATCGAAATTCATATTTTCAGGTTTCAAAAATTTAAAAACTTAAATTAAATTAAATCACACATAACGAGTTGTGTGTGTGATTTAAATGTCATAGATGATCGTGTAGGTAAAATCGATCCCTGTTTGCTATCATAACCTTTGACTGTTGCTTATAAGCTTCCTGAAATAAATTTTGAACAAAAAAAGAATAGATTTCAAAAAAAGGTCGTCTAACAAATAGATGATGGTGGGAAAACTTTTAAGCCATTTCTTCTCGGAACTCTAAGGTCGTACGTGAGCAATGCTGTGACTCGAAACTAAGTTTAAGGAACTTCAAATATCGAAACTAGTTTATAAAAATATCAAATGCCGAAACCTAAACCCATGCCGAAACTTAGACTCATACTAAAATACAAAACTATAATTCCTGCCATTAATACGGTGCAGATTATCTATAATCCAATCAATCGGTCAGCTTAAAAAAAATTATATTACATCAGCTCCCGAAACTTATCGGCTAAACCAAAAATCCGCCGAGCTTGAAAATTCCGAATTGTAAATTTTACCTGAACAGTAACATTACTATCCAATCAAATTTTGAATTCTGGAGATAGTTTCTAAATTTGTAATAATCATCTAATTCAGAAGTTTCTGATTTCGGATATATATATAGGCTCTTCTCTCGATAATTCAAGAGTTTCGGGTCACAGCACTAGACGTATGATATTCTTTTATTATTTAACCACTGTGTTTATCATTTCCACTTTTCTTATTTGAAAAAATTTTTTTGATCACGCAATAAAATAGAAAAAGAATTAAGTACAGCACAAATAATAATAATGATTGTAAACATGTCGTCACACGACATCTCTCACTATGAACTGGCTGGGATCAAAATTCTTTGATGTTGTTACTTTTGACATTTTTTTATATCCTGTGTGACCTTTAAAGTCAAAGTAGAAAAAATACTTTTGTTTGGTGTAAAAAATTCTATTAAAAAAAGCAGTTTACAATTTTCAATTTCACTCTTTAATATTAATTAACAATTTGTGATTAACTCTAATCGGATTGGGATCAAATTGTCAAATCACATATGGTTTTAATATGATTAAACTTTGACTTTTGAATCAAAATAAATTTGGGTTGCATGTATGTATGCTTATATGTAAAGATACCTGAAATTCACACTCAAACTTGGAGCAAATTTCTTATCATTGTAATATATGTTTATGTAATTTTTTTTTTATCATTTAATAATAAAATAAAATTTTTCTTATCATAATCTGGGAAATCACACGATGCTAACTATAAACAAAGTGCGAATAATTCTTGTACTTCATGTCAAGATAATATTAATATATGCAGGTGGAGAAACGGCATCGATCCATTATTTCAAGCTGTATTCCAAAATAAGCCTAATAAAAACAGATTTAAAAATATATATTTTTACACAATGTCAAGTCACCAAATATGAATTGATATTCTGACCTGATTTAATAATGCAACTTATCTGATACCAGGAGTGAAAATGGTAAATATCATTTTTCGTTAATTTAAGATTATTTGGGAACTTTTAAAAATGGAAATCAATGGGGGTGACCCAGATTCCTAAGATTGTAGTTTATGTAGATTAATTTAATTATTCAGCAATTTTCAGTAGTTATCCGTTGTATATTTAATCCCTAGATATTGTTATTTGATTATTAAATCATTGTCAAACTACAGGGTGTATTAATATTGAACTATTTTTGCCAATAAGCATGTGATTAAAGATTTTATCTTCTTTAAAAAGATTTCTTCCATTTTTTATTATTACAGAAACAACAATGATAAGAATAATGATTGTTTTGTTTGTTAAATTTATCCCAAAAACAAGATATTTTTGTAACATGGGAAAAAAGTTCCTTTATTAATATGAAATAAATATTTGTTTTATTAACGTATCATATGCGTTAGTTAGTGTGTAACGCACATTTTTTATTACGCCTTTTAAATTTAAAAAAAAAAAATACCACAAACCTCTTATATATATATATCGATTGAACTTATTTATACCTAAGCCTACAATAAGGCGCCTCGTGTTTATGACCCAACGCTGCCAACAACTCTTGCTGCATTCCATATTATACTATAAAAGTAGATTATGGCGCTATTTACATCTCTCTATCAATGATTGATTTTCAAGATTTACATCTAAAGGTCTAGACGTTTTGCTATTGTATTCCTCAGTGCAGACAACCACATTGCACTGGGACAAAATTCCGTCCCCCCACTGATGTCACAGGATACTCGTAAGATTTATATTGAAAAAATCGGAAATGAGCATTTATTTGAATTGCACAGTTTTAGGTTATTATTATATATTTTTTCTAAAGCAGTTATGTCTTGTGTTTGAACTGAAAGAGGAAAATTACATAGTGGTTTTAACATACCGTTTTGCAAATTTTCAAAGGCATTCATATGAGATATTACAAAACTCTCTCGCAGATTCGAGACATACATCGACAGAGCTTGTATCTTTTACGTTTACTATCTTTGCCGTGAATAGAATCCCTTTCACCCCGGATTTTATCGTGATGCAAGCACAACAGATATAAACAAGTTATAACCTGTTTTACGGTTTCACATGAAAGTTCTCATTCCTGGATCAAGAGAAATGCGCCATTCTCTCCGATCATCGAAAATTTAGGACTTTGGCCATCGGCCTTAATTTAAGTGGTTTGGGGTGCACAAGTAGGAATCACTAAGACGATTCAATGCCGTATCTTTAAACCAGATATTTTCTCGAAATGGATGAATAATGGCATACTTTCTTTTCCCCAATGTGTTGGATTTAATGATAATTGACTGTGTTTTGACTTTTTTCTAAATTTTCTTTTCTTTTCAGTAACTGATAGAAATTTTAATTAATATGTATCAATTTTTGACATAGTTTAAAGGTCAAATTTTGTGACATTTTCTTTGAAAATTATTCTAAAAAATGATTATTGCAACCTTTTTTTGATGAAAAAAAAAAACAAGGTTGGAGGGTTACAATATACAGCATATACGTGAAAAAGATCCCGTTAAAATTTTTTACTATTTGTACTACATGAAAAACCCGCAAAAAAACATTCCAACTTTACAATAAATTATTAAATGAACCATCATATATTTATGAGCCCTCCTGTGACATATTGCGTGCGATACGTGCAACAACCACGTCAATTTATCTAAAAATTAAGTTTAAAAAAAAAATTTTGTTAAATTAAAAAAAAAATTGTTTCACAATTATAGTTACACGACTGAAATATATATCTGTTTAAAAATTTTCTTCTTTAACTAGACTTCTTTTTTTTCTTTCTATTCTAATTATTTAATAACCTTGAAAAATCGGTAGTTCGTACAACCATAGTATGGCGAACAATGATGTTTTTATTTAAAAACATCTTGATAGAAAATTTTTTGTTTAAATATTTGTTGTTTGTTTATTATTTTCTTTGTGAAGGAAACAATAGTTTCGAGTCCTTATCACGTGATATCATGACAATACTTACAACTTATAGTATGTATGTATGTAATCTAGAAGCAATAATAATGGAATTTAATAACAATAAAAAAGAAGCAGAGGGCAAAAAAATTGTGCAAATATTATAAATAGCTAAATAAAGTAAACCTTTGCTAATTTTTTTTTTCATTTATTTTATTTAATCCTTATTTTCATTTATTTTATTAAATTTCATTCTTTATTACGTTATTATCATTCTATTTACATTAACTCTGAGCTATTTCCAAAATTTTCTGTCTTTTTTTCTACATTCCCATATTTTATAAATTTTATAATATCAACCAAAATAGTAATTGTTATTAAGATGTCTATGAGTAAATTCAACGAAATTAAAGAGGAAAAATGTTTAAACGACAATAAGAATATGAATAATAATTCATCTAATGATGAAGAGTATGATCTTAGTTTTATGGACGAATTTCGTTTTATTGATGGACGAAGGTTTCATAACGAAAACTCCAGATATTGGTTTCCAAATGACAAGAAAGAAGTAGATAGATTAAATATGCAACATTATTTATTTAGATATGCTTGGCAAGGAAATTTTTCTTCGCCAATGGGAGAACGATTGAGTAACGGTGGGGTGAGGGTACTGGATGTAGGGTTTGTTTGTTTTTTTTTTTGAAAAAAATAATTAAATAATGAATAATGCACGTAATTTTGCGCATAAAAATATAAAAACACGTAAAACTCCACACATATTATATTATTATTTATATTAATACACATACTTATTTTCACTTAAATTCATATACAATATACATTTATAAATATAAGATGTGGGTCAGGATCCTGGATTATCGATATGGCGACAAATTATCCTAATTCAACGTTTGTAGGCGTGGATATATCCCCGATATTTCAATCGTCATTAAAGGATCATCCAGCTTTAACAAATATAGGATTCATAAAACATAATGTTTTGGAAGGACTTCCATTTCCAGAAAATACATTTGATTATGTTTATCAACGATTTCTATCAACTGCCTTCACTCCATCTGAATGGGTTCGTGATATTAACGAATTGGTCAGAGTCACCAATCCCAACGGTTGGATTGAATTAATGGAAATCAAATTCTTTATGGAAAAGAAAGGCCCCGCCACCAAAAGTCTAGCAGAAGCATGTAAGTTTGTTTATAAATAAATATAAATTGGATAATAATTTACTCTTTTGAAATAAATAAAAACTCTCGGATTATTAAAGATAATAATATTTACACATTTATATATATATACATTTATGTACACAGTTTTTTTATTTGCTCGTTCCAGAAACGTAAGTTTAAAAAATCGACCTGATCTTAAAAAAATATTGGAAGACACAAATCAAATGACTGATGTCAGGCGTATAGAAAAATGTACTCCAGTTGGTAAATGGGGAGGCAGAGTAGGCGAACTTGTAAGTGTACAATACAATATATTATATTATAACTTATACACAAACTAATATTCATTGATTCATTTAACTTGTTTTTAATTTACCGTGTGCCAAGCTGGCCTTGAATTTCGTTACAGTTATAAGATTGTTCAAAAAATTCCTAAATGTTTATTTGAAATTAAGCGATGACCAATTCGAAAAATTAATTGCTGATCATGATGCTCAAGTTAATGAATATAAAAGTTATTTAGTATCTTACAGATATATTGGCAGAAAACTTTAAAGTAAATAAATATCTAAGAAAATTATTTAGTTTTTTAATAAGTTTTTAATCTAAGTTTGATTTTGATTTTGAGAATTTATTATTTATTTATTTTTTTGAAATATTATTATAATGAAATTAGTAGTAGTAGTAGAAGTAATTATCATTCGTTATTATTATTTCAAAACATATATATGTCTTTTTAATTTTTTTTAATAATTATGTTTTTATTTAATTATATAACTATGTATTAATAACTATTGTTATTTTTGAATAATAAATTTTTTACATGCAAATAAAGAAAATTTACATTATTATTATTAAAAAACAAATTAGAATCCACTGTTATGACTAAATGCTGGATCGTTACGACTTGATAATGGATACAATAGATTTTTACATCCTGATGATGATGCACCAAACACATCTTTAGAATCATTACTATTTATATTTCTAAAATCCAAAGAATGACTACTACTAAAAGAATCAAAACCATCGGCTCCACCATATTTACTAATTCCAGATCCAGTGTTGTCATTGGCCTTAAGGCTAAATATTTTTGATTTGGATTTAGCCTAATGGTTAATTGGCTGTCGGGTCAAAGAACCCATGTTGACAATTAGATCTAATTGGCCTTAAGTCCAATTAGCTCAGGCTAAATGTCCCATTATGTAATATAATAATAATAATAATAATGTAAAGTGTGAACAAAATGCGTATAATCATGCAACATCATTGCATGCATGATCATTTATTTTTATTTATAGTATAAAAATCAAACCTTTTTGGTGTCATAAAATTTGTAAGTTTATGTTGATTATTATTTCTTATTGTGTTTATATATATGTTTGAGATGGCTTTTTTTTGTTTGAGAAATTTTAGGTGTTATGAATATTTCAAAGTGTTTATGAATACAGTCAGGGTTTTTACCATAGATGGAAATATGGTTGACTCGGTCTAAAGACCTCCACGCGCTCAAAATAAAAAATAAAAAAGGGTTCACGTGATTTTGGCTAAAAAACATTTTCCTTACTGCCAAATTTAGATATGATGGTCGAGTATTAGTTTAAATTTAGTAATGATGATCAAAAACTAGTCTAAATTTAGCAATGATCCTAGCGCTAAAATTTCTCACGAGCATAGTAAAGTACATGTTTTAAAAAAGAATAAAACTCACAAAGAATTTTTTTGAGAAAATCTCTTTATTACATTAAAATTAAATACATATTCTATCAACTAATAGAGCTATTTTTTTAAAAGATAGGACAGAAAATGACTTCTATACTTTCAAAATTTAGGAGGTCTTTAGACCGAGCCAACTACATATGTAAACTCGATAAGTCGGTCATGTGGGGGTGAGCTCATATGGCCGACTTATCGAGTAAACCGACTTATCTAGTGACCGACTTATCGAGTTTACATATGTATAACTAATACTGTAATGATCGACTCATGAAAAATTCTAGATTGGCTAAATTCAATCAGGGATAATACCCTGTAATGGTCGACATTATGAAAAGAAATTCTGATTGGCTAAATTCTGTGCAGATCCTTTCGTTAATAATAATGAAAAAGGAAACAAGAAAAACATGGCGAAAGCATTATTATTATTAATTGGTCATATAATTTCCATAAAATAATTAACTTGCAGAAATCATCAAGAAAGATTATTCCTAACATTCTAAATTGTAATATTTCTTTAATTCTGAATTCAAATCATTCATTCACTTTAAAAAAAAAGAACTTGTAATTATTCTCAAATGGTTTAAAATTGCAACAAAATTTTTTTGTATAAAGTCACATGAAACATGAGGTTTTTACAACGGAAATGAATGCACAAGAGCCTATTAAAATTGTGTAGATCATTCTAGAATCGATTTCCAAATTCGGTAAAAACCCTGACTGGAACAACAAAATTTTAACCCATGCAATTTGTTGATTGACCAATTAAAATCGTGAATTTGATAACGTCAACAATCACTTCAACAATTGTTTCGTTAACAAATTTAAGAAGTTGGAAGCAACCATGCGACAAACCATTGAAATAGTCTAATAAATTAAATTGTACTACTCAAAAATGTATTTAAAAGGTTGGTTTTTGACTTGGTCGAAGAATAACTCTCTTCC